AGAGAAGAACTCAGCTGAGCGGGGAACCACTGCTACCAAGACCAGGCGTCCAACAGTGGCCCCCAGGCCTGAACACGGTGATATTTACTGTATAACAGGCAGGGGGGCAGGGCTGGAGAGTGACTCATCTGGCCTGACTGGTAAGGTCAAGTTGATCACATACTGACAATACGGGGAGCCTGTGGGTACAGTTCAGGGGCCTTGTGGGTACAGTGCAGGGGGTCGTGTGGGTACAGTACAGAGGGCCCCTCCCTCAGGCACTCGCTGCAAGGAGGGGAGGCACACACGTCAGTATCTTTCTATGCACTTATCAGAGAGATCAAAGGCTTTTAGGATTCCTTTATTCTTACTTCTAACAATTTACAAGGGCGCATCAGGTGGGAAGGTGGAACATGAAGGTGGACAAGGATGGTGACCGTCGGAGCACAGCTCCACGGAGAGGTGTTTAAGCCCCTAGATGTCTGCGGACCGGCCTGGCTAGTGTCAGACCTTCCTCGAGAGCCAGATGAAGCAGAGTGTTCTGTGAACTCCCTAGTGAAAGGGAAACTCCCCTTCACGGCCTGCTAAGTAACAGGCGCCCTCCCAGGCACTGGAACTACCGCAAGGCTCTCACTCTTGCCTCCTGATCACTTCTCACAATGTCCCTTCAGTTCCTAATTATATTTCACCTGATTATTTCTATATTATAAGGCTAAAAGTGTTCCTACACTGTAATACTAAGGCAAAGGTTAATAATAGAGAATAATAATGTAGTAAGAGTATATAATTGATTATGTGATTGTATCTAAGTCTAATTGGTTTTGTCACTGCTATAACTAAATAATCAGTTATTTATTATGCTGGAAGAGATTGTGCCTTTGGTCTTTTGCCATGGCAACTTTCTTCCCACAGGCTGAGGCTGATTCTGCAGCTCTGACCTCAGCTACCGAGGGAGACAACACCAGCAGTGGCAGGAGCTGGAGGACCCTTCCAGGGATCCATGTTTGTCATCCTGCGGGGGTCCCAGACCCCTGCCAGCCACTGACACACATCCACGGCTTCCCAGAGAGTGCTCACATGCACCCACTGCAGCGAAGGCCTCTGTTCAGACACATCCATTCTGGCTGCTGCTCCCCCAGGCTCTGAGCTCGGGGGGTGCCGAGGGCAGGTGTGGCCCAGCCAGCATGCAGCCCCAAGTCATGAGCCTGCAGTCAGGCTGCAGGTCAGGCGACACTAAACATGCCATGCGCTGGGCACTGTGGGCAGCTCCTCAAGGCAACTCGAGAGAGACTAATCTCGGGCTCCTCTTTCCTGTGCCTGGGGAAGCCCAGGTGAAGCCTGGGTGGGGAGAGATGCCTCGACCCTAGGAGAACCCCTGGTCATCACAGGTCGTCCTCCTGGGGCTCCCCTCGAGGTGGCGGGTAGGGGGCAAAGTGCTCAGGCCACAGGAGGAGGGATAGAGACAGCCAGTCAGGTGAGGAAAGGGTGGACTTAGACCAGAGAGCCTGCTGCAGGGCCTGGCCAGTCACCACCTCACTGGCCACCAACATCCCCTGGCAGGGCTGCCCCTGACCCATGACTCCCCAGTTTCCACTCCCAGACTGGCAGACCATAAGCCACCCTCCTGCCCTGAGCCACATAACTGGCCCTCCCTGGTCTGCCCCCCTCCAACCACTTCGCTCTGGCCAGAACAATGTCGAGCACTGGGTTCCCATTGGTGAACAACGGTCCCGCACAGGCGCTAAGCCCATCCTGACCGCGGAGCCATGCGCCGGGCACTTTCCGCAGCGGGGCCCAGCTCTGAGGCTTGGACCCCAACCCTCGGGCGCACACAAATCGCGTTCTCTGACTTGACTGCGGGGTCACCGACCGACCCCTCACACTATCCGTGGCCCCGAGCTGGTGCTGTCACCCAGTGTTACAGAGAAACCGTGGGGAATCGTTGGTGCCCATCCCGCAGACCGCCTAGTTCCTGCAGGCTGGGACCGCCCCCTGCCGCAACCCCGCCCTGGCCCCGCCCCAAGTCGGCCATCCCCACCCACGTCTCGCCCCACCCCGTAGCCCCGCTTTCTCTAGGAGGTGGCCCGACAGGGCCCCGCCCCCCTAGTAACCCCGCCCCGCCCGACAGGGCCCCGCCCCTCTGGCAACCCCGCCCTAACCCTGGCCCCAACCCTGGCCCCGACCCGGCCCCTTCCCGACAGGGCCCCGCTCCCATCCGCTCACGAAGGCCGACGGTTTCCTAGGCTCAGGCCCGAATCGAAGGTGTCCGCCAGCCCGCGTCCCTCCGTTCGCTCCTTCTCCTCGGGCACTGGAGGGCACCGCGAGACTCCCACCGCGCGGCCTCACCGGCTAGGTCCTACGCGGTCGCCGGCTCCTTTGCGTCGCCCCCGGCTCTGGTGGTGGCGCATGCGCGGAGGGCTTTCTCATTACAGTCTTGACTGCTCACGCGGGATGGGTGCTCGGCAGCGCCGCTGGTGTAGTGGTATCATGCAAGATTCCCATTCTTGCGACCCGGGTTCGATTCCCGGGCGGCGCAGGTTCCTTTTGCGTTTTTTCCCCCCATCTAAAAAAACAAACTCTCGCCAACGCCAGAGATTTTAAAAGAAGAGAAAACCGGAAACCAAGTGAAGGCGCCCAGTCCGGCGCAGAGCTGACACACGTTTCAGAGAGTGACAGGTTCCCTGAAAACTTTGGATGGCCATGGGCTACAGGCTACCTTGGCTAAGGCGCCTGTAAGCCAGCAAGCCAAGTTCGCTGTCCGGGCCCTGGTCGCGGCCGCCACCCACCGCTTAGCCGCTCCTCACCGTGCCTCTGCCCGCCGCAGACCCCTTACCGGGGGGCGCGCCTGCTCCTGGGAGTTGTAGTTTATCAGCTCTCGACGCGCCCGCCCCGCGGCATCCGGACTACAGCTCCCGACGTGCCCCGCGGCAGCCCAGCCGCCGCGCCCGGCATACCGCGCGCTAGGTCCGCGGCGGGGAGGAGTGGCTGCCGGGATGCTGGTGGCGGCGGCCGCGGAGCGGAACAAGGAGCCCATCCTGCACGTGCTGAGGCAGTACCTGGACCCGGCCCAGCGCGGCGTCCGCGTACTCGAGGTGGCTTCGGGCTCCGGCCAGCACGCGGCGCACTTCGCTCGGGCCTTCCCCCTGGCGGAGTGGCAGCCGTCGGACGTGGACCAGAGCTGCCTGGACAGGTGCAGCGCCCGGGGCGCCCCGAGAGCCTCCCTTGCGGCCACTCCGATTGGTGCGGCGGGCCCGGGCTCCGAGGGTGCGGGATGGGAGCCTGGGGGTGCCCGCGGGGCAGACCCCAGCTGTGCGGTCCCCGCGGCTGCGGAAGTGAGTAGGCCTCGGGGTCCCCCTTCCCGGCTGCTTTGGGTCTCCGCCCCGCAACGTGACACCCAGCCTCCCCTAAGAAAGCCCGTGCGGTGTCGGAAAGGCGGGTGGGCAGGACTCGGCCCGCACCCAGGCGCTCCCCTCCCGCAGCATCGCGGCCACCACGCAAGCCCAGGGTCTGACCAACGTGAAGGCCCCGCTGCACCTGGACGTGACGTGGAGCTGGGAGCAATGGGGAGGGATCCTGCCCAAGTCGCTGGACCTGCTGCTCTGCATCAACATGGTCCACATTAGCCCCCTGCGCTGCACGGAGGTCTGTGGGCCCCACCCCCCGCAAGGGTCTCTGCCCAGGTACCCCTGACCCTGCGTCGGGGATGCCAGATTCACCCCCATGACAGTCGGGTGAGGGTCTCCAGCCTCAGGGACTGGTTTTGGGGGCAGCGCCTCACTGCCATCCTGTCCCCTACTCCCCAGGGGCTATTCAGAGCAGCAGGACACCTGCTCAAACCCAAGGGCCTGCTCATCACCTACGGGGTGAGTGTGCCTGCCCAGGGTGGGCCTCGCCCTCACAGTCACAGCTGCTCTCTCCTGCCCTACTCAGATTCCTCCCTCCTGGACTCCCTGCCCCCACCGGCCACCAGCATGGCCTCCCCTCCACTTCCACTCTGCACCCCTCCCAGGTCAGCTGCCTGTCTCCCTGCCCCCTTGCCCACCAGCCTGGCCTTGGCTGCCTCCCTCTTGGGGACAGGGAGGGGGTGCCCATTTCCTTCTCCAGACCCCAGCCTGCGAGTGTGTCCCGGGCTCACTGGGAAATAGCCGGCCTCGGTCCAGCAGGCTGTGTCCCCTTCACCACAGCCCTATGCCATCCATGGGAAGATCTCTCCCCAGAGCAACGTGGACTTTGACCTTATGCTGAGATGCAGGTCAGAGCTGGTGGCCGCGGGTCCGGCTCAGGGGGCAGGCACGCTGGGTGGCATCCCCCAGGTCATGACTGCGTCTCCCCCGTTGCGCAGGAACCCGGAGTGGGGGCTTCGGGACACAGCCCTCCTGGAGGACCTGGGACAGGCCAGTGGCCTGTTCCTGGAGAGGATGGTAGGTGGGGAAGTGGGGGCCCAGGCGGCCTCTCTGGGGATTAAGGATTGTCCTCCAGCAAAGTGTTTCTCCAGGTGGACATGCCAGCCAACAACAAGTGTCTGATCTTCCGGAAAAACGAATCCCCCTCCCTCACCCCTCATACCTGCATCCCCGCTGCCAGAGGCTCTGTGGGGCACAAACCCTAACTCCCTAAGCCGGGTCTTGTGGGCAGCAGCCCCACCTAGTCTGTGCTCTCAGCTGGTAGCTGAAGGGTCCAGCCTGCTCAGAATAAAGTTCGTCCCGCTGCTGGGTTGCCGGTGTCCACCCTGCCTTCTCCTAGGAGTACCTCGTGAGGGCGAGTGGGAGACGGGGTTTCCTCCGGGGTCAAGGGCCTGGGACATCCTGGTCCTTGCTGCTGGAGCTCGGGCAGTGGGCGTGGGGTTGGGATGGCTGCTGAGGCAGGATGGAGCTGGTTGAAGGATGCAGGAGTGGGCTGGTGCTCCCCGGTGACCTGGTACCAAAGCCCCAGTGGGTGGCAAGGCCTCAGCTGGAAACTGGCTGGGGATGGGGCACTCGGAAGGGTGGGGGCCGTCCGACCAGCAGCAGCAAGCCAGGAGGTCTGGGGTGCGGGCAGTGCATTTATTCACCAGGACATCGGGCGGTGAAGGCCCGTTGTGGGGGCTAGTCCTGGAAGCGGTTGAGCAGCTCACAGGCCTGCTTCTCCAGAAGCTCCACGATCTTCTTGACACGCTTCTCGCTGGCAGCGCGGACGTAGCTGCCGGCGTCTAGCACAGCCACGCCGTCGCGCACCTCGCCCATGATGACCAGCGGCTCGTCGCCTGCTGTCATGTTGGGGCAGGGGCAGGCCCAGTCCATGCCGCTCAGTGTCACCTCCAGGTACTTGGTGCCCAAGAACTTGAGGCCCATCTTGTCATCCTTGAGCACGTCCTCCAGCGCCACGCGGGCGATGCCACCGGCCGCCTCGGGCTCCTCCAGCACCTCCGTGAGCCGCCCCACGATGGCGAAGTCGCTGCGGCACAGGCTCAGCGCCAGCTTGCTCCGGAGGCGGCAGGCGCGGCAGGGCGGCGTGCGGGGCACGGGGCAGGCGTCCTCACAGCTCTCGCGGCTGTGGAAGTTGTTGCTGTTGCCGTCACAGCCGCCGTACACGAAGGGGTGGCAGTGCCGCAGCAGCGGGCTGTAGGCCCAGCGCGGCTCCCAGCCCTGGCAGGGGCCCTGCACGGCAGGCAGCACACAGGCGTCGCCAGGGCCGTGGGCACAGGCCTGCTGGCATGCCTCGTAGGTCTCGAAGCCCCGGGCCACCCCATCACAGCTACCGGCAGGGAAGGTCATACAGCCACCCCGCTGCGGGTCAAAGTGCCAGAGGACCAGGTGTGGGGAGGCAGGGGAGGGGGAGGCGGGGCCTGTGCAGGTCTGCATGTCTGGCAGGCACTCAGTGGGGGCTGGGACACTGGGGGCCCTGTCCCTGGCCGGCTCTCGCTGGACCACAGAAAGCGGGAAGTCGGCCCGCAGCAGGCCTGCGGCGTTGCGCGCGGTGCAGGTGTACAGGCCGGCGTCTTCGGGCCGCGCGTTGTAGAGCACCAGCTGCCCGATGCTGGTGACCACCACGTTGCCGTACATCTGGTCGGGACGCATGATCAGGTTCTCCCGCTGGTGACTCTGCTTCTCCCAGGTCACGGCAGGCGGCGGGCGGCCGCTGACGTCGCAGTGAAGGCTGGCCGTGCCCCCCACCTGCACCGCCTGCGGGGAGGGACTGCTGTACAGGGCGGGAGGCATGGGTGCGGCCCCCGGCGTGGGGCGGGCGGTGGTCTCCGGCGGCCCTGGGCTGCTGGACGGCCAGCTGAGCACGTGCTTACAGGGCACCACGTGCAGGTGCAGGCCCCGCAGGCAGGCCTCGGCATCCATGTAGCAGCGGTTGTAGTAGGTGAGGCCGTCCGAGGCGCAGGTGAAGCTGGGCTCCTTCTCACAGCGGTCGCGGCAGCGGCACACCGGCTGCCCGTCCCAGATGTCACAGTCGGAACCCTGCTGTGGGCACACAAAGCCCTCGCAGGAGGCCGCCGTGGTCGCGGGCGCAGCTGGGCTGTCCGGGAGGCGCGCTGCCACGCAGCTCTGCAGTCCACACACGTTGGTGCAGCACTTCTCAGCGGCCGCACAGTCCTGGGGATGGGGGACACTTAGGTGGGAGCCCCGACGCCCTCTGGCCCCTGTGTGGGGAGGCTCCTGCTCTGTGGCTGCCGCCAGGGCCACCTCCGGGGGACTCAGTGTCCTTTCCATCCCGTGGGAGGAGCCGCGGCGCCAGAGGCGCCACGTTGCTTCACCTTCCAGAATCCTCACACCCCCAAGCAAGTTCCATTATTGTTTACATTGCACAGAGGAGGAAACTGAGGCCCAAGGGGGGGCGCACAGTGCTCGGGGCCACCCAGCAGGCGGTGCAGGCCAGGACAAAGGCTGATATGGGCTGCAGCACCCCACCAGTGTCTGCACTGGTCCCGGACGGGAGGAGAGGTAATGACGAGGCTGGTGGCTAGAGGAGGCTGGTGGCCAGGGTGAAGGGGAGGCATGTGGGGTATGTGAGAGCTGGCGTGGGGGGGGGCCTTATTCCTAAGGCAAATGAGGGCAGCAATGGGGATGTCTCTGGGCCTGTCTGGTGGGGTCTCTCCCAGGCTGGCTGCCCCAAGCCCCGGGACCCCAGCCCGACTGTGCTCACCTGGTCCCTGCTGCACTCACGCTCACAGGTGCTCTGGGCGTCCACCCACAGGTTGGGGCTGAGCTGGTTGGGGCACACGCCCGGGTGGCCCCCCGGCCCTGGCAGCAAGCCGGCCCCCGAGGTCAGCTGGAGGAGGAGCAGGAGAGGCAGGAGTGGCCGTGGGGTGGGCATGGGGGCCGCCGAGCCAGGGGGCAGGGGGGTGTGGCCACCAGCCCCTCCTCGGGCTCCTCTGAGCCCAGCGTCCTGCAGGCATCCACCCTCCGTGCCTGTGGTTGGCGCCCCCGCAAGGACCCCCGGGGCTCCCTTTCACCCGAGGCGGAAGCCTGCAGCAGACGCTTGGCCTCACGCCCCTGCTGGGTCTCCCAGGTTCTCAGAGGCCGTCAGTGCCGTACTGGCTCCTCTCCAGCTTTAGCCTGGCCCCTGTGTCTGAACCGTGTGGGGGCTCCCAGGCCCCGGTCAGCACAGGGTAGAGGGGAGGAGGTTGGGGAGGAGCCAGAGGCCCAGGAGCACAGAGCCACTGGCCATGAGGGTCACCAGGGGCGGAGAAGGGCTGGCTCTGGCCGGAGAGGGGGAGGGGAGGGGACCCTGTAATCTGAGCCCCTTCCTATACACCCAGGACTGGGATCAGTCTCCTTGACGACCCTCCGGAGGGTGGGGGCAGGGCCAGCAATCCCAGCTTTTGTCCCTGACGCCCTCTGGACCCCAGGCTCCTGTGCTGCGGGGGTGGCAGGCACAGGACCTCCCTGCCGAGTGTGGCTGACCACAGCCTGGGTCCCTCAAGGCAGGTCCAGGCTGGCAATGGTCACGTGTGTCTGGGTCAGGCCGAGGGCTCCACTCCGCTCCTGTGAGGTTTCTTCCTCCACGGCTCTGTTAGGGGCACAGGGGCCTGCAGGACTCCCAGCGCAGCCCGCCTCCTCTGCTCTGCCACCCCTGGTGGGGTGGGGCCTGACACGACAGGACTGCATTCCCAGATACTCCATCCCTGAAACCCGGCTGAGGGCTTGGGGCTCAGGCCTGTCCACAAAGCGGGGCAGGTGCAGCAGGAAGAGTTTGCCTCCCACAAACACAAGAGCACCCCCACACGCTGACGCTGGAGCTTCAGCCCACGCACTGCACAGCACGTAGCTCGGCGTGGGACGGCGCCACCCGAAGGAAGGCCAAGTCCAAGGGCGTCTGCAGCTGAAAAGAGCAAGAGTCCTGGGGCACCGGAGCCTAGCCTGCCGCAGTTCCCACCTCCACCCCCCACCAGCGGGCACACATCCCCCCAAGGCTGGCTCCTCCTCATCGGGAGGGCAGGGGGCCAGCCTGACTGGTGCAGCAGGACAAAGGGCCGCCTGGAATCTGCCCTTCCAAACCCTCTGTGGCTGCAGAGGCCTGGGGGCCCAGGGGGTGGCTTTCTCTGAGACCTGACTGAAAATGTCCGACAACCCTGCGCCTGACCTCTGACCCGTGAGGCAGGGTAATAGGAGCCTGGTCTGGTCAGAATGAGTCCCATACAGCCTCCAGGCGCCACAGTCCCTGCTCTACAAGGGTATCTGGGGTGGACCCTGACAGCGTGGGGGTGGGTCAGCTGGGCCAGATCTGAAACAGCGCTCCCTGTTGGGGCTGCCAGGGAGGGGTTACGGCCCAATGTTCCCCCCGGAACAGCACAGGTAGGTGCCTGAGCCAGAGGCTGTGGTCCCTGTCCTGACTGGAGTGTCCCGTTCCGGGTCAGCTGTGACCTCTGGGGTGTCCACCCACCCCTGGGCCGGGCACGGCAGGCAGCCCAGCGTGCAGGCGGCTCTTTTGCTGAGGGGGCCGAATGACTGCAGGGCCTGGCCTTTGGGGTCCCTGCTGCTGTTGGGGACAGTCTGCCCCAGGCTGCTGCTGGGGGCTGTGAGGGAGGGCTCAGCACAACCCAGCTGGGGACCGGACCACCAGGAAGTGCACAACGGCTGTGACCAGGCCCGGCCGCTCTAGCCCAGCTCCAGCCCTCACTTCGAGGTGAACCCAACTAACAGCTGTAGGTCGGCCGTCAGCGGAGGGAACAGAAGCAAAGCAAAGGCCAGGGGTCAGTTTGCCAGGTACAAAGCAGCACCGGCCCCTGGTATGGGGCACCGCCCCTGCCAAGACCCACTCCCCCATACACAGAACACAGTGTGGGGACCACTGCTGAATCTGACATTTACTGTACAAAGAACGAAGGGTTGGGAAAGAACAGGAACGGTGCGAGTGTCTAACAGCAGTGAGGGTAGTGTTGATACCGTGAATGGCGGCCCGTCTAGGTCTCGTTCATGATCCCAAACGCAGGTCCTGCTGGCAGAACAGGACGGGGTAGGGGGGCCAGGACAGGATCAGGAGGCCAGGGTTCCCTTACTCATCTGGCAGCTCACACAGGCCCTGGCCCGCATCTTCCTGGAATGGGCCATGCGGCTTCAAGTTCACTAGTGCCCAGTACACCCTCCATGGGGCCATCTTGGGAAGCATGCGCCGTGCAGTCCCAGCCGAGGGGATCCTGGGCCCCCGGAGGGCTCCTTCTTCGTGCTAGCCATGCCATGCCGTGCGGCCTGAGGGCAGGAGGTAGAGGTGAGCACCAGTGCGGCGGTGTCTGCAGGGGTGGGGAGGGCAGTCCCAGGCAACTGCAACCCTGCAGAGGGGCCACTGGGGCCAGGTGTGGCAGAAGCACTGGGCGGAGGAGCAGCCAATGGCTTCAGAAGAGCAGTGGCCGGCCCTGTGTGCCTCGGGCTCGGCAGCAGCGCCGGGCTGGTGGGGCTTTGAGGAGGGGCCTGGCATCCTGAGGCCCCGACATGGACATGGCCAAGGCAGTTCCAGGCGTGTCCCTAAGAAGCAGGTCAGGATGGTCCCGACGCCGGGTGACCTCCCAGGAGAGCAGCAGCTATGGGGACACCAGAGCCAGCGACAAAAGCTGCCGAGAACAGGAGACTGCACTCGGGTGCAGGGGTCCAGATGCCGCCAGAGGCAGGCGGGCTGCGGCCGGTCAAGTATTCATACGTCCACAGATAGCTCTGCACTCTCCAGGGTGGGAGAGAGGCTGATCTGAGTTTTGAGTGGTAAACGTCCCCAAAGGTGTCACATCAAAGGTTCTCAGCCCCATGTAGGAAGAAGGGATTTGGGGAGCAAAAACAGTGTGCACCTCACTTCTCCCCTCTCCTGAGTGTTGCTTGGGCTCTGACCACAGGACCACACCCTCCATCCACTGCCAGCACGGAGACTGCTGAGGTCGGAGTGGCCCATGGGAGCCAGGGCCGCGGTCACCCAAGCTTCCAGAGGGAGCACTGACCCGTCTGGTCCGCCAGCCTCTGAGCAGCCCTGCCATTCACAGTGCGTGGATTCACAGGGCGACTCCTTCCCATCGCTGTCACAAATCCCCTCCCGAGGCGTCCCGAGTGCGTCCCCATGGCTGGTGTGGCCACGAAGTCACCAGTGCACCACAGGGACACACACAGGCTTCCCTGAAGGCCCCTTAAAAATGTACAAAAAGGGTGGAGTGTTCTGTATATAAATAAGAAAGGCAAGTCAGGCTCTCCACCGGCTGAGCTCAGGCAGTCGGAGAGGCCCAGCTTGTTTGAGACCAAGATTCCCAGAAGCACCAGCAGCCCAGCCGCGGACCCTCCTCCCACCTGCCATACGGGCTCCGTGCGTGCTCCGCCCCACACCCGGCTCAGGTGTGGGGAAAGCCTAGTGCTTCCGAGGCAGCTCTGTGGCCAGTCTTCACGCAGGCAGCACTGGCCCGGCGTCCCTGCGGGAGTGTCCACCCCGAGCCCTCCCGGCATCTGCACAGGCGGCCCGCCCATCTCTGCTAGGAGATCTTGCAGTTGCTCCGTGAGCAGTTCTGCGGGGGGCTCTGGGGCGGGCGGATGGACTTGGACCTCTTGAGGCTGTTGCCCTTGCTGCCACCGCCCCCAGCCCCACCGGCCAGGGAGTAGGAGCGGCCGTGCATCATGACTGCGTTCATGCCGTTGGCCATGGAGAAGGACTTGAGGTGGCTCTTGATGGTGACGGGCAGTGGAAGCTTGTCGATGAGGTGCACGGGGGTGCAGGAGACGATGGCCCGGCAGCAGAGGTCCTGCAAGCTGAACACTGCAGGGCAGGGGGAGCGTCAGACCACGGGGCTGTGGTGGGGAGTTCACCCAAGGGATGACTAGAGGTGTCCCCAGGACTGGGCTCCTGGAGCACCCAGACACACGCACCTCTCTGCCCAGCACAGATGTGTTCCTGCCTTGCTCGCTAAAGCCAGGCGTGCTGGGGGTGCTGCTGTGGGGTTTCCAGAGGCTGCTCTGCCCGGCCCCTGGCCTGGACCCTGCAGCTCCCAGTGTGAGGGCCGTGTGAGCTGACCCTTCAAGCCAAGCTGCTCTGGAGCCTCTTCAGTACCTCTGGTTGGGTTCTGAATCAATCTAGCTTGACTGTGGCCAGCTCAAGTCTGCAGAGCTGGGGAGAGGAGCTCTGTAGGGATGGGGCCTGGGTTATGATGGCCCAGGGTACAACTAGGCTCTTCATGGCTCCCCGTTTCCTCTTTCTGTTTTTGGAGCCATGCTCTCACTCTTTGGTCCAGACTGGAGTGGAGTGGTACGATCTCGGCTCACCGCAACCTCCACCTCCAGGGTTCAAGCAATTCTCCTACCTCAGCCTCCCAAGTAGCTGGAACTACAGGCGTGCGCCACCATGCATGCCCAGTTCATTTTTGCATTTTTAGTAGAGATGGGGTTTTGCCATGTTGGCCACGCTGGTCTTGAACCCCTGACCTCAGGTGATCCACCTGCATGGCCTCCCAATGTGCTGGGAAGACAGGCGTGAGCCACAGAGCCCGGCCGGAGCTTCCTCTTAAGAGGGACACTAACACTGTCAGCCACGCTCTCTCTGCCCAGCAGCGAACCCTTTGGGGAAGCCTCACAAGAACAGCAGTACCACCTCCCTGAGGGGCTTTTCTGGGGCCTCTAAGCAAGGACATGGCCTGCCAGAAAAGCAGACGAAACAACACAAAGCTGCAGGCATGGCCCCTGTACTCCTCTGAAGGGAGGATACCAGCCCCAGCACCAGGGAAGGAGCGTGAACGCACTGCCTGCACCAGCAATGCCAGGACCTCACAGGCACAGCAAAGTGTGGCGGCCACTGAGGCACCCTGAGGGAGGTGACCAGCTGGTTCCGTGCCCGCTGGCGCTGCCGCCTCTGTCCCACGGCTGCTCTTACCAAGTCACTGCCCTGCCACCAGCCAGCTCCCTACTGCGTGTGGCCAAGGGACCTGCCTGAACCTCACTCACGGGGCCTCACTGCCCGCCCGCCCCCACCAGCCTCCGCAGCCCGGGGCTCCCCGCCCACCCACCTCGGTTGGGCCTCCAGATCTTCTCCATGCCGTGCCGCATGAGCACGATACGGGACAGCTCCGTGAAGGACTCAATGACATTGAAGTTGCACAGGGGGCTGACTTCAAAGAAGGTCATGCAGTTCTTCTCTGCGTAGGCGCGGGCCTGCTCCGTCGGGACTTGGCGCTTGAAGGCCAGGTGCAGCCGGTTTCCAACCAAGATCCGGGGCACTCCAGGTGCATGCTGGGGGCACAGAACTCAGCAGAGGCACGAACGCAGGGCGCCACCCACCCCTCAGCCGTGGCAGGGCCCTCACTGTTGGGACAGATGGGGTGGGGGCCGTGGGAGGTCGGGGGGGAGGCAGAGCCCAGAGCTCAGACCCCACAGTACAGGACTTACGGGTGGCCCCAGAGCCCCTGGCCGGTGCCCAGCCGTCGAGTGCACAGTGACCAGCATGCACAGGCACAGGCCGTGGGACAGTGAAGGGCTCAGAGCTGGGGCCACAGGAGGGGCAGCAGGTGTGAATACAGAGCCTACCTGGGGCCCAGGCACCTCCATCCAGCCTGCCTTCCCCAGGAGGGCTCCCCCAACCCAGGCCTACCTCGTCAATCTCCTTGATCCAGCGGTCAATGCCATCAAAGGACCAGCGGTTGGTAATGTCATACACCAGGAGGATCCCCTGCAACAGAGACTTGGGGGATCACCAGGGGTGCAGGGGTCACCGAGACACATGGCCAGCCCAGGCCCAGGGATGCTCAACGTGCAGAGGACATGGTTCCCGGGCAGGGCCAAGGATGCTTAGGACCTGGTGGTTGGGCAGACAGGTGGTGCCCTCCACGCAGCCCTGCCTCCCACCCTGCCCTCACCCGGCAAGGACAGCAGCAGAAGGGTGCACGCCTTCCATGGTGTCATCAATGCTGCTTCCCCTCCCTCCCTGGAGGCATCAGCCTGGGCAGGCAGATGAGGGGTCCTGGTGGCTGGGGGACGTGAGGCCTGGAGCTGCAGCTGTGGAAGCTAAGTGTCCCCTCGGACAGTCCATCAGTGAACTCCCCCGGGGGGTACTCAGGACAGAGCTGAGTGGGGCAGTTCTGAGTTTTCCAACCTAAAACTTGGAAATCAGAATGCCAGTCACCCCAGGACAGTTTCTGTGAAGCTCCCCCAGCTACAGGCAGAGCAGGATTTGCCACGGGGACTTTCTGCCACATCCCTTAGAGACCAATTACTTGAAGCTCAGCTTTGGGCTGTTTCCGCCTGCCCTAAATATCGCGGCAGTGACAGTCGCGGCTCTCCAGCAGCCCGGGGGAGCACACCGCTCACGCTCAGAGCCCCGCTAGGCCAGAACGGGGCCCTAAACCCGCCTCTCCCCACTGTCCACTCCCACCCTACAGTTCTTCAACCGCATCCAGCCAGTGAGCTGGGGTCCGCCCCACTCCTAGGCTGACAAAACCTTCACAGAAGAGCCTGTCCCACACAAGGGACAGGGAGGAAAGCGTGGCTGAGGCTGAAGGAAGAGGGCGCTCTCCACCGGAAAATCAGGGTCTTTAGAGCCTCTGAGAACCATCTTTCAATGTCTGGAAGACTCAAGTGTAGCCCCAGGTCCTGTTTAGAACAAGACTGAAATTACTAAGCTCCCAGGGTGAAGGCCTTGCTTGGGTTGGAGCAGCGGCTCAGGAAGGACACCTCTTCCTGTGGGAGGCCCTTCGAGGACAGAGATGGCCACGTCAGTCTGGTGGGTGATAAATCATAAGATTTAGAATAAACGAATGCACCCCCAGGGGTTAACCCTGTAGCGTGGGGCACAGGGACTGGGGGGGATAATTTGCTGCTGGGGGAGGGGGAGACTCGGGAGTGGGTCACCAAAGCACACAACACAGCCCACCCTCCCGCGAGGCAAGCCCACGACTGGGAAATAACTGAGGATGCCTGTCACAGTGGCGTTGATAACAACGAAAAACCAGACACACATTAAATGTCCAGCCTCAGGGGACAGCCGAGTAAGCTGCGGTGAAATGTGCCGTGCAAACGGGAAACAGCAGCGGTGCATCTAGAAGTGTGCATGCCGGCCAGAGAGGGAGGCGCAGCCCACGTGACGTGAGAACAGAGGTCCCAGGTGCTGCCGACTGCACTTTCTTTTTTTTGGGACAGGGTCTCACTCTGTCAAACAGGCTGGAGTGCAGTGGTGTGATCATGGCTCACTGCAGCCTTGATATTCTCAGCCCAGGCAATCCTCCTGCCTCAGCCTCCCGAATGGCTGGGACTATAGGTGTGAGCCACCACACCTGGCTAAATTTTAAAAAAATTGTTTAGAGATGGGGTCTTGCTATCTTGCCCAGGCTGGTCTTGAACTCCCGGCCTCAAGTGATCCTCCTGACTCAATACAGTGCCGGGGTTACAGATGTGAGCCAGTGCCCAGCCCAGCCTGATTTGTTTAAAATAAAAATATAAACACACTATGTATTACACTGAAGCAGCTTATATGGACATAAAACAAATGCTAAAAGGCTAGAGAGGGAGTGACTTTTTATGCTGACCTATGTTTTCTGTGGCAAACACCACTGTTCCCATGACACTGAAAGCTCTAGAAAGAGAACAGAAGGTCCGCCTCCCGGCTGACGGCTGGCTCAGGCTCCAAGTGTGCTGTGAGGCTCGGGGGCCCTGGCCACAACTCTCGGCTGCTGCCCTGAGCACGCCCCTCCTTCCTGGGATGGCCGAATCTGAGGGGCAGGGGTTACGGGCAGGGGCGATGGCACAGGAGGACACGAAGGCTCGCTCCAGCGCGGGTCATGGTAAGGCCTCAGGGACCCAAATCACCACAGAGTGAGAAACCGAAAGGAGACTCTTGGAGATCAGAACCCACCTAACGAACTGCATGCTCAACTATGTATCTCAGGGAAGAGGGGCAAATAAACTCTTCCTTTGCCTTCTATTTTCTAAAAATCATAACTGTAACATATACTCTTGATTTTTTAAAAACTAGCAAGTTCAGCTGGGCACGGTGGCTCATGCCTGTTATCCCAGCACTTTGGGAGGCTGAGGCGGGCAGATCACAAGGTTAAGAGATCAAGACCATCCTTGCCAACATGGTAAAACCTTGTTTCTAATAAAAATACAAAAATTAGCTGGGTGTAGTGGCACATGCCTGTAATCCAAGCTGCATGGGAGGCTGAGACAGGACAATCACTTGAACCTGGGAGGTGGAGGTTGCAGTGAACCAAGATTGCGCCATTACGCTCAAGCCTGGAGACAGAGCAAGACTCCGTCTCAGAAAAAACAACAACAACAAAACTAGCAAGCAAGTGCTCTAGAGGATGAATGAGGACAAGCTCTCCCCTGCTCTAGGCCCCCTCCAGGAGCCACTCTGGACAGTCAGTTTTCTCAGCGTCTGCAGAGGTGTCCACGGTGCCGCTCACACCTCTCAGGCAGGGTCGGGGCCCGGGCACTGCTCCCACCCGCACGCCCTGGGCTCAGGCCCAGCCCCTCGCCTGCTCATTAGCTGGGACTGCACTGGCTCAAGGTAACACTGGCAATACGCATCTGAGTGCATTTACGCTTTTTCTGTTCAACTCGACCTACAAGATACATTCCCAGAAGTAGAACTGCTGGGCCAAAGAGTGGGTGCCCTTTTTGCTATCATTTTTTACTAAGCTGTAACTTACAAAGCAGAAAATGTAAAGATCCGAGGTTTGGACATTTTGATGAATTCTGACAAACACATGCACCTTCCATCCACGTGGGTCAAGCTCCCAAGGTACAGCCAGCCAGAGTGAAGCCCTCCTGCCCGCATCCCCACACCCAGGCTTTGCTCAGAAGCAAGAGACATGGAAAATGGGAGGTACTGCCCAGCGGTCCCCACTCAACGTCTGCCTGCCTATGCGCCACCAAGCCAGCAGCACGCAGGCCTCCGGGACCACTCTCCACATAAACCCTCCTCAGGGAAGCAAACCCACACTGCCATCCCGAAGGAGACACGGCACTTGGTCACACCTGTCCTGCTGCTAAGCCCGCTGACCCCTGTGGGTAACTTCCCATACAGGTACCAAGGAAGGAGAGCTAAGCAGAACCCTGGCACAATTAAGGCCTGAAGAATATCTCAGTGATTTCCTTTTACATAATCCTTTATATAATCATATATTAGTTTATAGAATTAGGGCTTGGAAAACATCTGTTTACAGTGTTACTACTCAGTGATTTCCCTTCATATAATCCTCTATATAATCATCTCAGTTCACAGAATGAGCACCTCAGTCATTTCCCTATACATATACATAACTATATCTTAGTTCATAATCGGAGGAATGCCTAGAGTGGACACAGTATGGAGCATGAATTAAGGAATAAGCAGCTTAGAGTCAGAGGAATGTCTGGAGCAGACACAGTGCAGAGCATGATTTAAGGGAAAACAGTTATACCAGGACAAGAACCCATGGCCCAGGCGGCAGCGTTCAGTATCGGAAAGATACCTGCTGCATGGAAGGCCCGGGGCGAGAGCCACTCCTCCTGATAAAGGAGTTGTAGGACCTTGCTCCAGTTCTTGTGGAAGGCTGCCCTCAGACCGGCAATCCACCTTGGTGACTGTGAACTTTGTCAGCTCTTATTACTCAAAAAGCATCTTCCAGCCGGGCACGGTGGCTCAAGCCTGTAATCCCAGCACTTTGGGAGGCCAAGGCGGGTGGATCACGAGGTCAAGAGATCGAGACCATCCTGGTCAACGTGGTGAAACCCCGTCTCTACTAAAAATACTAAAAATTAGCTGGGCATGGTGGTGTGTGCCTGTAATCCCAGCTACTCAGGAGGCTGAGGCAGGAGAATTGCCTGAACCCAGGAGGTGGAGGTTGCGGTAAGCCGAGATCGCGCCATTGCACTCCAGCCTGGACAACAAAATGGAAACTCCGTCTCAAAAAAAAAAAAAAAGCATCTTCCCATAGAACTCATTGGAAGCTGCCAGCAGGTGGCGGTAACCCCAACAGCTCTGTCACTGCTGTGGACTTAAGCATCCTCCTATAGATATCCTTAGAAGTAGCTTGCCCATAGATAGAGGTATCGCACACTGTACCCTCTTCACTGCACACGGCCCACCTCCATGCCTCAGTGACCTAATGGGGGCGGGCCCCTTACTGCACATGGCCCTTGCCTTCATGGGAACAGGCCCTTTGCTGGGCACTGTCCACCTCCTGGCCTAGGTGACCTAATGGGGGTGGACCCTATGTTTTATTGCTCACGACCCTATCACTATCCTTAGAGATGACTTTACTCACTGCCCTGCACCCCCCAACCTATACACAATAAATATATATGCTTCCGGACATTCGGGGCCTCACCTGACTCCGCTGATCGGTGGCGTGGCCCCCCTGAGCCCAGCTGCATTCTCCCTGTACTTCTGTATCCTGTCTCTTTATTTCTCAGATCCTGTGGCTCAGCACAGCATAAGGGATACCCCACGACCCTGTGGGGACCTCAGCCCTCAACCCCAAATTCTCAGCTAAACAGGACGGCACGCCCCATCAGCCACCCTGCAGGTACAGGGAGCCTGCCCCACCCTCCACACACCAAGCAAGCCCCAGGGACCCGCACCTGGGTGACCTGCTCATCCCGTCAGTGGCTGGCACTGCTTCTGGGAGGGACCGCCTCAGGTCTCAGCAATAGAAAACCTGGACACAGCCAGGAAGCCTAGGAAGCCTGGCCTTCGGCAGAATGTGAAGGCCTTGTGGGAAGAGCCACAGGACTGCTGCTGTATGACAGATGACAACAGCAGGCGGTGGCCAGTGGCCTTCATTAGTGCCATCTGCAAGACCCAGGCTGTGGGGACCTGCCAGGCCTCTCCACTGGCAACGGAGGGCGGCAGAGAGACGAACCTGGCTGGAACAGACAGTCCTTGCTTGCGTCTCGTCAAGGGCTGTGGGAGAAGCAGTGCTGCAAACCTGGGCTCTGTGCCTGAGCCGGATGCCCTCACCTCAGAAGGGTGCGCTCCCGGGGTGGCCCCAACGCTCAGTCACGGCAGCCAGAGGCCCCGCCTTGGGGCTCGGGTGCTTCTCCCAGGGCAAGGCTGCCGGGAAGCACCTGGCATCCTCCACCAAGGACCAACATGTGCACCTGGGTCTGCAACCTGCTCCTCTCATCCAGAAAATGACAGCTAAGAACTTCCAGAATCAACAAGGCAAAACAAAGCCATAACCGGTTGTGCTGGATGCTTTGGAAAGAACATGGAGATGATAGCAGAGCCTGCTTTACGGAACCTCAGCCTGGCAAATGCAGAGCTTGTGAACTGCTTTTTCTTTTTTTTGAGACAGAGTCTCATTCTGTCGCCCAGGCTGGACTGCAGTGGTGTGACCTTGGCTCACTGTAACCTCGCCTCCGGCTTCAAACGATTCTTCTGCCTCAGCTTCCCGAGTCGCTGGGACTACAGGTGCATGCTGCCACACCCAGCTAATTTTTGTACATTTAGTAGAGACAGGGTTTTGCCATATTGGCCAGTTGGCCAGGCTGGTCTTGAACTCCTGACATCGTGATCTGCCCTCTTCGGCCTCCCAAAGTGCTGGGATTATGGGCGTGAGCCACCATGCCTGGCACTGCTTTTTTTTTTTCAGTTCTCAAGCAGCTAAACAGAAATCACAACTGCTAGCCCTCATATCCCACAGACCTCCCTGTGTGGGAGCTGGGACACCCACGGTGGAGCCCCATCAGGTTCAGCTGCCCACTGCCTTTCCTGGTATCTCCCCAACAACGCTTACTGTCATCCAAGATAAACACGCCCCATTTTCTTTTCTTTTTTTTTTTTTTTTTACGAAAATAGCATGTGTTTACTGTAGAAAAATCATGAAATACTTAAAAGCGAAAGGAAGGCAATCTAAGGCATATTTTTGCAGACATAAATCACCCACACAGCTCCTCCGTCTTTTCTTTTTTTTTTGAGACAGAGTCTAGTTCTGTCACCCAGGCTGGAGTGCCGTGGCACGATCTCGGCTCACTGCAACCTCCTTCTCCCAGATTCAAGCGATTCTCCTGCCTCAGCCTCCCAAGTAGCTGGGACTACAAGCGCCCGCCACCACGCCCAGCTACTTTTTATATTTTTAGTAGAGACAGGGCTTCAGTGTGTTGACCAGGCTGGTCTCCAACACCTGACCTCATGATCCTCCCACCTCGGCCTCTCAAAGCGCTGGGATCACAAGCATGAGCCATCTGGTCCGGTCGCAGCTCCTCCTGTAACAGCAGGCAGGGCCCGAGGAGTGCGCCTTCCAGTCTCCACCTGCCAGCTCTATGCATCACAGCCACGCCACTCAAGTTCCCCACGGGGTCGGCACAGAGCCTTCAGGCCCTTCTGCTACCATGAGGGAGTCACCAACATCTCTGAGGGAACTCCTGGGACAGGGTGCTACCCTGCCCATCCTGGGGTCCTTCCCACCCACCCCCAGCAGGTAGAAAACAGCAGAGCCAACACCGACTACACTTCAGTGTAGAAACAGAAGGTAATGAGCTTGCCAGGGGATGAAGCTCCAGTGTCTGTCCCCCTCCCACCTGGGGCACCTTCCTGCCCAGAGCAGACCCACCTGAGCCAGAAGCTGCACAGCGCACACCTAAACCTTCACCCAAAGATCCAGATTCCAAACCCAGGCAGCCTCCCTGGGCCCACACAGTGGGCTCCAGGCTCAGGACCTGGCCCTGGAGGATCTCCCTCGGTTCTTCCAGAAGTCTTGGGGCATCACAGACGGGACTGACCTGCTCGAATCCCTCTCACTGAAGCAGCAACAACAGTGGCCATGGCAGGTCTGTTCCAATGGGCTTCACGTCCTTTTCCCTCCTTCTGGCCTCATATTTACCAGCAGATCCAGTGAGCACAAAAGCGTGCTGGAAGCCCAGAGGAGACAGAGAGAAACCAGGGTGGCCTAGTTTCTCTAGGTCACATCCACCACACCTGTGCACACACCTGCACACACATGGCCCTGAGTGCACCCATCATGCCTGTAATCCCACCTACTCAGGAGGCTGAGGCAGGAGAGTCACTTGAACCTGGGAGGGGGAGGCTGCAGTGAGCTGAGATCACGTGTGCCACTGCATTCCTGCTTGGGTGACAGAGTGAGGCTCTGTCTCAAAACAATCAAACAAAAAGCAAATGTGACAATATCCTTAGAAAGCACTTGGGAGTTTGACAGGACGGCAACTCACATTCAGAAAGGATCGGGAGAAACCACCTTTGGAAAAGCAGTAGAAAGAGCGGTGCTGGTCTTACCTGAGCGCCCCTGGAGTAGGACCTGAAGATGGTGCAGAAGCGGCCCTGGCCCGACGTGTCCCTGAAACACATGGGGAGGGGATGGGCAGGGGCCACGGCAGCGCAGCCTCCACGCCTGCACTGTGGTCCCCGTGAGAGGCTCACCTCCTGGCCTCGTCTCCCTGCCCCCCAGATGTCCTGAGGGGAGTGGGTGGCCGGGACAGGTGCAATGGGGCTGTGCTAAGAGGCATCGTCTGCACAGGTCACAGCAGCCTGGCGCCATGCCACTGAGCCAGACAGGCAGCAGCAGGAGCCTCCGCCTACCTGGTGAGTGAGCAAGCTGCCCAAATGAACCCGGGAGCCCCAGGAGACTGTCCTGACAGACTGCGAACCCCCACCCCTGTGGGCATTTACATCTCAACACTCAAGTTCTGGGAACACTTTTTTTTTTTTTTTTTTTTTTTTTTGAGACAGAGTCTCACTCTGTCGTCCAGGCTGAAGAACTGTGCCTTAATCTCTGCTCACTGCAACCTCCATCTCCTGAGCTCAAGCAAGTCTCCTGCCTCAGCCTCCTGAGTAGCTGGGATTACAGGTGCCCACCACCACACCTGACTAGTTTTTGTATTTTTAGTACAGACAGGGTTTCACCATGCTGGCCAGGCTGGTCTCGAACTCCTGACTTCAAGTGATCCATCCTCCTCTGTCTCCCAAAGTGCTAGGATCACAGGGGTGAGCCGCCGCGCTCAGCCAGGAAATGCTCTTTAAGGTGAAGCCAGCAGAAGGGGAGGGAAGGGGCCTACAGCCACCATGGAATCAGGTCTTCTGGGGCAGACAGGAAGCTGGGATCTCTGGGAACACAGGGCCCGGAACTTTTGCCTTTTGCCTCTTGGAGCAAAATCCATTCTATGTTTAAACAGGGGCTGTGTAAGTGGTTCTTCCAAGTGAAATGTAAACAGGATACCTTCCTGTTTCTCTAAGGTTCCGTCCTGCCTTCGGCATTGGCGTCCCCACCCCGGAACTGAAGTGCCACAGCCCCAACTCACCAGAGCTCCAGCTTCACGCGCCGGCCGTCCAGCAGGATGGTGGTGGTCTTGTAGTCGATCCCTGTGAGGAAGCACAGGGCGCTGAGGGGACGTGCTATTCCTGGAGCGAGTACCCTGGAGACCAGCCTCAGCCACTCGCCTCGCAGGGCTGAGACCCACGCAGAGGATGTGAAGCACCTCCCCCCACACTCAGCCAGTGGGACAAGGGGCAATCTCGGGGTTCTGGCCCAGCAACCTAGGCCTGTCCACTTCTGCACACGGGCCATGCAGAGCAGAAGCACGATCGGAACGGGGTCAGGCCATTGGGGCCCCACGGCCTGCCAGGCCAGCCTCTCCATGGGCACAGCTTGCCCGGAACGGGGCCTCCCTCCACCTGTGGCCTGCGCCAGGTGCCAGGCACAGGGCCTCTCCCTCAGAGGGCACTGGGCAAAGGCAGGGTGTGGACTCCAGGGTGTCTGGAGAAAGGGCAGTGCCTTATTTCCAGCCTGACCAACTTGCTATGCATTTTGAAATTGAATTCTCAAAGGCGAATGTGTTTCCAAGTCTTGGTTTGCAGAGCCCAGGAACTGACAAGTGCAGCGTGCTGCCGCACTGGGGAGGGCCAAGCAAATTAAAAAACCCCTGACCTCAGGATCCGCCCACCTTAGCCTCCCAAAGTGCTGGGATTACAGGGGTGAGCCACCACACCTGGCTCAGACGTGACATCTTAAACTTTCCAGAAGCTTCTACCTTTAGGGCTCAGTTCCTCCTCCACCTTAAAAAGACCATTCATGTTTTGCCGTTTCCCTTTTTTTTTTTTTTTTTGAGACGGAGTCTTGCTCTGTCACCAGGCTGGAGTGCTGTGGTGCAATCTCGGCTCACTGCAATCTCCACCTCTTGGGTTCAAGCGCTTCTCCTGCCTCAGCCTCCCGAGTAGCTGGGACTACAGGTGTGTGCCACCATGCCCAGCTAATTTTTTTGTATTTTTAATAGGGACCGGGTTTCGCCATATTGGCCAAGATGGTCTTGATCTCCTGACCTTGTGATCCGCCCACCTTGGCCTCACAAAGTGCTGGGATTACAAGCATAAGCCACCACGCCCAGCCTGTTTTGCCTTTTTATAACACTTTCTCCCAGGGGGCTTGGAAACGGGCACTTCGTAAACATAAGTGAAGCCCTCCCACAGAGCGCACCTGCACAGTGTGCACGTTTGTCTCTCTGTGTGGGGCCCACCCTTACAAGCCAACCATGCGGCCTCTTTCCCTCCGGCACCTTCTTCAGGCATCAGTGCTTCCACTCACACCATCCTTCTGCCTGGCCAACTCCTAACTGCACATCAAAGCCTGCTCTCATGTACCAAAGGACCCCATCAACACAGAGAAAAATGCAACCCAGAGATGGAAGGAAATGTCTGCAGACCACACGTCTCCTAGGGACTGAACCCAGAGTCCACAAAGAACTCCAAGTCAACAACAGAAAACCGCACATTCTGATTTTAGAATGGATGACGGTCTTTCTCTGGTCCTCGTTTCCTGGACAAGAAGGAAAAATGTTGTGCCAAAAAGAGCCATGGCCGTGAGCAGCCCATCGCCGCAGGCACTGCGCCTAACGCGTATCCAGGGACACCACCGTTAAGCAGTTCATCATCGGGATGCAGTAGAGGCTGCAGCCCTTGGGGCCCCTTTGGAAGCCAGCGCCTGTGCCACCCGCATGCCTCCCAAGCCTCGTGTGAGGCTGCGTCACTGCCCCAGCGCTGCCCGTCACGGCAGGCCGGTCAGGAATCCCGCTCCTCAGGTCCAGGGCCACGCACTCCACCCAAGTCCAGAGCTGAGTGGTACCCAAGACCCCCACCCAGGCCCACATAAAGAGCTGAGTCCTTACGGACTGAAGACAAACTATCCTCTGAGGGAAAAAAATGTGGAAATTATACTTTAAAAAAAAGGGTGAATGACTTGAATACACATTTCCCCAAAAAAGACACACCGATGGCCAAGAAGTATGTGAAAAGGAATTCCAGGCCGGGCGCGGTGGCTCACACCTGTAATCCCAGCACTTTGGGAGGCTGAGGCGGGCGGATCACAAGGTCAGGAAATCAAGACCATCCTGGCCAGCACGGTGAAATTCCGTCTTTACTAAAAATACCAAAAAAAAAAAAAAAGAAAAGGAATTCCACATCATCATCCAGCAGAAAAACACAAAGCCACCACCACATCGCGACCCCGCCACAGGAAAAAGGGCAGCTGCAGCAAGCGCTGACGAGCGTGGGGACGCTGGCCCTCACCTGGGAGTGTGCTGCGTGCTGCTGAACTGTTTTTTTTTTTTTTTTTTTTTTTTTTTTTTTTTTTTAAGATGGAGTCTCCCTCTTTCACCCAGGCTGGAGTACAGTGGCGTTGATCTCGGCTCACTACAATCTCTGCCTCCTGGGTTCAAGCAATTCTCCTGCCTCAACTTCCTAAGTAGCTGGGATTACGGTTGCATACCACCACATCCAGCAAATTTTTGTATTTTTAGCAGAGACAGGGTTTCACCATATTGGCCAGGCTGGCCTCGAATTCCTGACCTTGTGATCCACCCACCTCAGACTCTGAAAATGCTGGGATCATAGGCATGAGACACTGAGCCTGGCCTTGAACTGTGCTCTTAAGAATGGTTCCAACGCCAGGCTGCACACTGCATGTGTGTACATGATTCTAAAAGCCGAGGGCAGGTGTCCTGTGCCTCCTCACAAGTGAAACAACACTCTTCAGGGAGGAACCATGCTCACGCCGTCCACACCCTTCCCACACCTCCCTCCTCCTGCGGGTTCTGTCAAGCAGGATGCAGGGATGGAGGGGCCTCCGTCCTTTCGGTCCTGGCCACTGCAACCCCCATGAGGCTGGCCCGAGAGGCCAAGGTTGGACACAGCAATTCCCACAAAAGCCGTGGCTGCTTGTCCTTGAAGGTCAACTCCACAGGCCAATCCGGCCAGGCAGGTGGGCGCCAGAAACACCTGCAGGACGGATGCTGAAGGCGTGGGACTCCCCTAGGCCACCCCTAGATGGCGCCGTAGCCCAGGCCCACCAGGAGCCGGGGCCGGGCTGCTGCGAGAGGGGTGTGGGTACCAAGAAAAGCCTGGGGACCACGTTGGCCACACACGGAGCTGGGGCCTCTAGAGTGCTGGGCTCTTCAATCAGAGGTGGCTCCAAGCTGGTCCTTCCACTGGGTGTCTGTGGCGGGCACCCGTGGGACCTTCTGACTGCTGAGGAGGGAGGCACCCACCTACCCCGCAGGCTCCACAGCTGGTGGCAAACTGTGCACGTCAGAACAGGACTCTCCGCAACACTGGAGAGGAAAAGTTTCAGAAGACTGAAATGGCGTCCCCATGGATACCGGTTAGACTCAAACGGTGGCCTGTTCTCTAAGCACAGTCAGCCGAGTGTCTTGTTCCCAGCAACCCATAGCCACTGACCACACGGAGTCCTCCTAGCCCCAGGATGTGCTCTGGAAAAGGTCTGGATTCTCAGAGGAGGGACAGGTGTCAGGATCCTGGGGAGGGGACCCTTGGCCTAGAAGGTCTCAATTTTCCAGGCAGAGCCAGGGCAGGTGGGGCAGGGCAGGGGAAGGAGCCCCTGGAGGCACAGAGCTGTGACCTGGGAGAGGCCTGGAGCCTGCACTGGGCAATACCCTAGGCTAATACCCTGTTCAGTGAAAAGCCAAGGGTGCCAGTGACCATCATCTGCTCCCTGCAGGCCCACTGAGCCTCACGCCTGCCAGCCTCCCTCCTTCTCTCCTCATCTGCTGGGTGCTGCAGACCTCACTCACCACTCAGGTTTACTGTGCCCAACAAACCTCTTGCTCATCTAGTCCCAGCCAGACGCCGCCTCTGGGCTGACCTAAACACAACCACCCCACAAAGCCGGGCGCGGTGGCTCAAGTCTGTAATCCCAGCACTTTGGGAGGCTGAGGCGGGTGGATCACGAGGTCAAGAGATCGAGACCATCCTGGTCACCAAGGTGAAACCCCGTCTCTACCAAAAATACAAAACATTAGCTGGGCATGGTGGCGCGTGCCTGTAATCCCAGCTACTCAGGAGGCTGGGACAGGAGAATTGCCTGAACCCAGGAGGCGGAGGTTGCGGTGAGCCGAGATCGCGCCATTGCACTCCAGCCTGGGTAACAAGAGCGAAACTCCGTCTCAAACAAAACAAAACAAAAACAACCACCCCACGAGACACCTGTCACCACCCTGCTCAGAGCCGGCTCCAACAGGACAGGTGCTCTGACCTTAGGGGACACTGAGGCAGGGAGGTCAGAACGGCTGTCCTGGCACCAGACCAAAGCAATGGGCACCTAAGCTGCTGCTGGTTCTGTCTACCGCACGGGGTGCCACTTCTCCGCCCGTTACAGGAGACCAAGTCCCGGCAAGTGGACTCCCAGCCAGGCCAGTGGGAGGTCACATCTGGCCCTGCCCTTCGTACTCTGTGGCTCTTGCATTTTGGAGACACATCTGGCTTGCCTCAGTTCCTCCTTCCAGGCACAAAACTCCCCATCCTCCACCCTGAGCCACGCCAGCCAGAGCAACCTCTGCAGGGACTGCCCAGTTTCATGAAATGGAGTCTTGCTCTGTTGCCTAGGCTGAAGTGTAGTGGTGTGATCTTGGCTCACTGCACCCTACACTTCCCCGGTTCAAGCAATTCTTCTACCCCAGCCTCCCAGCTACTTGGGATTACAGGCACATGCCACCATTACAGGCATGCACCACCACGTCCAGCTAATTTTTTTGTATTTTTAGAAGAGACGGGGTTTCACCATGTTGGCCAGACTGGTCTCAAACTCCTGACCTCAGGCAATCTGCCTGCCTTGGCCTCCCAAAGTGCTGGGATTACAGGCACGAGCAACCACATCTGTCCAGCTGTTTTTTCATCTCTTTTTATTCTATTCCCTGGGAGATGTTCTCAACTTACTTTTCTGGCCCTTCTATGGCTTTTTAAAAATGTGCTGCTTACGACTGGGCGTGGTGCCTCAAGCCTATAATACCAGCACTTTGGGAGGCCGAGGCAGGCGGATAACCTGAGGTCAGCAGTTCGAGACCAGCCTGTCCAAC